GGGCCCGGGCTGGGGATTCGAACCTGCCACCTTAGGTGTATGTGGCTGGCGCCCCAGCCGCTTGAGCCACAGGCACCCAGCCGATAGCTTTCAATCTTGTAGGGGTTAGGGGGAGACAGAGACCTACCTGAATCCACGAGGTTGGGCAGCTGCAGGAGAATGATGATGAATAGACATCTGAGGAGGCAGGAGTTTGGGAAAACTCCCATCTCCTACCTTTATTGGGTAAGGAGGTCTCTCAGAAGTTTCAGCCTAAGAGGTGAATAGACAGGAGATGACTACTGGCTCTGTAGACCCTCCTCCTTCCAAAGTCCACTCTATAGTTCTTTCCAATCTGGAGTGTTCTGGTCATCTGCATCTGAAGCCCCTCTGTACCTCTTCTTCAGTGGGGATTTTCAGTCCACACTTCATCAGCATTCACTCACTGCTCTAAGCTTGGTCAAACAGGTATAAAATAATACACTGGGTCCTAAAACCTAGCCTTACAAGAAGGAAGTTGTGAGGCAATGTATCCATTAGTGTTTTGCGTATCAGTGAACAAATCCTGGAATCACTGCACTAAAAAGAAAAATACTCTTCAAATACAGTAATTTGGTATTTGCTTTTAGCAATAATAATGATAAAGATATCTTAACTTTCGCATGAAGACTAAAATAAAGACCAGAGAAATGAATTAGAGGAGAAAAGAGAAAAAGATGGGAGGAGATAGAGCAAGAAAGCTAAAGAGAGTAGAGGGCCTAGGACCAGGGAGGAAGGAGTGGGAGTGAGAGAACTGTGCCCTCCTGGCTGCTCACTCTCAGGAGATTGAGAGTAATCATATATACTGACCTAGAGGATCCTGGAGGAAAAGGCGCAAGGGTGCACTGCCACCAAGTGAGAAAGCTGGTTGTGGCCCCAGGGATAAAAGTTAAAACCCAGAAGGAGAAGGAAGGGGGAAATGATTTCAAGAAAGCCTGCCTCCGGGTGGCCTAGTGCATTTAGCTTTGGGGAAAAAAAGAGAGAGAGAGAGACAGAGAGAGAGAGAGAATGAAGTTTTCTAGATAGACAGAAAAGTGGATTTGCAGTCTTCATATCAAAAATCAGCACATGTATTGAGGAGCTAGACTGAATGAAAGGGAACAGAGAGAAAAAGAGGAGGGCCAAGGAAACACAAAAATGAGATGAGAAAGCTTCAACTAGTTATTTGACCTGTCCAAGCTTCATTTCTTTTATCACTAAATTAGCAACAGTGTTAATCATACCTTCCTTGAAGAGACATTGGGAGTATTAAATAAGATTAAGCAGATAAAGTGCGTAGTGCATGGTAGGCCCTACCATGTGCTAAGGACCTAGATGTCACTATTTAAATTATTAATTATATATAAAGCAGGTCATTATAATCAAGATTATTTGCAGAATTATGTTCCTCAATGGATGCGTCTCATATGCAGCTTTTATTTTATACAGAAGTGAAATAGTTATCTCAAGGAAGAGTCCTATCAAGATTTTATGAAGAAGTATCAACTTTTGGTTTTTGTTTTTTTTTTTAAGTATCAACTTTTTTAAAAAATGAAACATTCAGGCAGCCCCTTTGGCTCAAGGAGTAGGGCACTGGCCCCATATACTGGAGGTGGTGGGTTCGAGCCCAGCCCCGGCCAAAACTGCAAAAAAGAAAAGAAAAGAAACATTCGGGCTGGCAAGGTGGCTCATGCCTGTAATCCTAGCACTCTGGGAAGCAGAGATGGGCATATTGCCTAAACTCAGGAGTTCAAGACCACCCTGAGCAAGAGTGAGACTTCATCTCTAAAAATAGCCAGGGTTTGTGGCAGGTGCCTATAGTCCCAGCTACTCTGGAGGCTGAGACAAGAGAATCGCTTGAGCCCAGGAGTTGGAGGTTGCTGTGAGTTATGACGCCAGGGCACTCTACCTAGTGAGTGAGACAAAGTGAGACTTTGTCTCAAAAAAAAAAAACAAACAAAAAAAAGCAAAGTTCAGGTTACAGGTGGTGATTTAACCGTGTAATCCTAGCACTCGGGGAGGTGGAAACAGGTGGATAGCTTGAATTCAGGAGTTCATGACCAGCCTGAGCAAGAGCAAGACCCGGACTTTACTAAAAATAGAAAAACCAGCAAGGTGTTGTGGTAAGTGCTTGTAGTTCCAACTACTCAGAAGACTAAGACAAGAAGGATCACTCGAACCCAGGAGTTTGAGGTTGCTGTGAGCTGTGACATCATGGCGGCACACTACCCAGGGCAATAGAGTAAGACTCTGTCTCAGAAAGAAAAAAAAAAAACTTCTAAAATAGGCAATTTACTTTGTGACAAGGTTTGGTGTAATAAAGCTGCATCTTTCTACAGATTTATTTCAGTGTTTGAATACTCTTACTAAGAGTATGCTGGGAAATCATTAACATATTCTCACATTTACAGATAAA